TGCGGCGCCGGCCGGGGTGGGGGAGCCTCCGGGACCGGCCCGCGGTCTCGAGCGCGTTTCTGCGCCTCGGGGGCTACTCGGGTCTGTGCCTCCCTCCTCCTGCGTCTCGTCTCTTACCTGTCCCTGTCCCTTGGCCTCCCACCCCTCTCCATCCCTGCCGCTCACTTTGTTTCTCTGGGTCGCTGACTCGTCTCTACCACTCTGTCACTCCTCGCCTCTCTCTCTGTAACTCACTGTCCTGTCTGTCTCTCCCTCTCTGTCAACTGTACCCCTGCTGTAGCCCTCTGGGACGTGTGCTGTCCCTAGAGGCAGCCGCCTGGGGAGGGCCGCATGTGTTAGTGGGGCATGACTGCCGTGGGTCAGCAGGCGGTGGGAACCTGCCGCCAGGACTGCCCTCTGGTCTGTTTTTGGGGAGAGCAGTCTGGCTGGACCAGGAGTTAGGGTTGTTGGCTTTGGTCCAGGACTGCTAGGCTGGGCTGGGCTGGGTCCAGCGTGTGGCTGCTGTGGGCTGGCTCACTGGCTAGGTGGTGGCTGAGGTCTGGGTCTTGGTGAGGGGCCTGAGTGGGGTCAGAGCTCAGGCCACAGGATCCCCCAGTTCTGAGCAAGGGTAGGTGGGGGTTGCCCATGGGGCAGGACCCCTCCCTCTGCACCTCTGGCCGCAGAATGAGAACCAGGTGCTGTCTGTCATCTGTCTGTCCCTGCACTGGGCCTGGTTCCAGCAGGGTGGGGTGGGTCAGGGACAGTCTTTCCAGCCCAGGGTCAGTAATGCCGCAGCCTGGCCACACCCAGGACACCTGGCCAGCTGCCGGCAAGGGGGCTGGGGCCACACTGCGGAACCCCACTCCCTGGGGAAAGCAGAGATCGATGATGATGGCACTGCTGTTGCAGAGGGGGTGGGGCTCCCCTTCAGCTGCAGCAGGAGCCCCCGTGGTCCCTCCTGTTGCCCATTAATCTGGTTAGCACTGAAGCCCAGCCGACCTCCTGTTTCGGCCTCCCTTGCCCAGGTGGGAACCCAAGGCACCCCGATTCTCCCTGGACAGCCAACGGGAGAATGATGGGTCCCCAGCCCCCTCCTCCGGACTGCGGTGGGCCTGGCCCACATCCCTGGGAATCTGCCGCGTCACAGGGAGAGAAGTGGGGCCCGAAGGCCTTGGGGCCGTTGCTCTGCCTCGCATCCCACAGTGGCCTTCTCCTCACTTACCGGCCGCCTGGAGACTCCCAAGCCGCAGGGTCTCGAGCCATCTTATCCACCCTCCTGCCTTGCAGAGGCCTGTGCTGGGAGCACCTCCCCAGCTGAGGCCCTCATTCTTACTCTGACATGTGGTTCTCTGGCCTCTGGGGCAGTTCCTCCTTGAGTCCAGCCTGCAAAACCACCCTCTCTTAGGGAACAAGGTCAGTGGCTTTCATGGGGCGTTGGCAGGAGACCTGGCCCTGGGGGGGGGGGGGGCCGGGGGCCACAAGCAG